TATGTTATGTATGTTACATAATTTTAAATATGAATGCAGATTGTTAAAACTTAGTCGAAAACCTTAAAGAAAATATTTTGTCTATTAGCTTCAATGTTATGATGAAACTTTTTGGTATTTTTTATGTCCTTTAAGAACAAAAATAAAAATATCGGATCATGTTTAATGTAATTTCAAATATTTTAATAATATAGCCTTCAGCCTTCTCCTATCTCCAACAGTCTCTTATATATTTATGGCAAGTCGTCGTAATTTATATAAAGGAATAAAGTACTTGAATGGTGTCAACTGAAATGGAATGCAAAGTACGTGACTGGGGAGTTTTATGACACTTGTTTAACTTTTGGTGTCTTAGGGAAATGCTTTACATACAAGTGTACTACAAAAATCACTTTCTTTATATACATTTGGCCCCACTTTAGTAAACTCAATGAGTTTTCTTTATTGCAAAGTAAGATAGGAGCATTTTGCGCCTATTATTCTTAAACGGCAACTGTGTGTAGTAATAAAAGTTTCTGTGTTTACTATAGAGTTTACTTCTTGCTCCTTTACCTTTGCGTTAACACGTCAGTGAGGAGTTATACTGTTGCAGTGAAGTTATTGTAGTTTTGTACAATCTGAACAGTGCGAAATTCTAATATACGACCATTTAAGAGATGGTGTCATATTTATAAGTCTTACTAATGAAAGAATCAAGCCCTTCATGTACATCTTTCGTGGAGCTTGTTCTAACGTGAGCCAGATAATTATGAATAGACGATTTCATCTACTATATCTATATAGCATCTACTATATCTTTATAAAATATATTTTATAGTATTAAAAAAGAAACCATTAGCAAAAATAGGACGAGCAAAACTATTTTTTAGGCGGTCCACCAATGTTAAGTGGATACCACCGCCCATTTACACACAGAAATCAAAATCATGTATTCATCGACGTAAGAAACAAACACAAAATCGATAGTCATATTTTTTAATCTACCACTGTTACGTAATGGGGTAAATCATACAACTATTTAGGGGCTTACAGATACGTTGACAAACTTTAAAAGTAGGCCCCGATTGTATAATAACCTCCACTTCACGCCGCGGTTTTCTATAAGGCAAACTACCACAGTAGCCATTAGATGCAGAATTTATTTTGTTTGGCAATATTAATTTTAATAATTACATTAAATAACAGAATTAGAAAAGGTAATAAAAGAAGTCACCTTTTTAACCTTACTTCGATGAATGGAATGTTAACCATGTACATGTATATTTATGTATCGAAGGTTCGTTCAATAGCGGAGCTTGATATTTCGTGCCGCATATAAACCTTCGGCAAACATTTATATCGCGCGCAAAAAAGAAATAACTCCACGCGGTGAAAAAAAAAAAAACGAGTGACAACGCCACCAATATACATCCTCTATCTGAATACATCGGGACAAAACGCTCGGAAAATACTGCGGAAAAATGCGAACCACGAGAAATTACACGTAGCCTCAACACAATAAGGCCACGTGCACATGTTTCAATTTTCAGCTATTTCAGTTAAACAATAAAAAGCTAGACATAGTTTTTAATTGGCGAAGTTTGTTAAGTTTTTTAAGCGTCAATAAAAGTTTATAGGTACGAGTATATTAGATTATTAATAGATACGCGGGACGCTGTAGATGTTTGGGATAACTTTAATTTAAGCTGTAATATTGTTCAGTCTTTAAAAATGTTTCATTAGTAGTGAGCATATTCGTTGTTGATTATTTATGAAGTTATTCATTTGCGTGTAGTTACCAGCACACGTTATTTTTCAATTTTTAGCGCTAGCCTGCACTCATGATTGAATTTGAAATTGAGATCGAAAACGATGGTTTAGTTCAGAACGTAGTTGATCTTTAAGATAATCTTGTAGAGGTCTTGAAGATAGAGAGATAGAGAGGTCTTGAAGAGCCTGTTCGTATTGGAAACGTTTTACAACTTCCTAGGTGTTGTGTATGTCGATAGGCGTTGCTTGATTTCTACTCGAACTTTTTTAAGAATTCATTGTCCCTACAGAAATAATGCGGACTTTTCGGCAACGTATGCACACTTGTGGTTCACTTGGCCATTCGATGTTATTTTGCGGCATTATACTGAGCCTAAACCTTTGTGCGGGTCCATTAAACATCTTTTATTTCACTAAGGTTCCATTGTAGCATATGACGCGTATTGTTTCTTCGGTTCAGTTTCATTCAATTTATACTGGGGTTGTCGATACGGCCGTGTGGGCCCACCTTATTGAACAGCAGCAGTCGTACGCTAGGATTGATTTTATCGAATATATTCGTTAATAACATTAGCCCATTTGTTATCTTTATTGTGTTCCCTTAGTAAATAGGAGATTATGTTCTCTCTGTCGGAAAAAATAATCTTTCCCCCTTTGTACCGATGTACAAAGAAAATCTTGTCCCACGTAATATATATTTACGTTATGAGCGGCGACGTATAAGTGATTTTCCTCTTTCAGTTTCATTACTTTCCCTACCGTTTAACGGTTTGTTCATATGTATTTTTTGATCATGTATTTTGAGATCAAAAATGTGATCTGTATACATGTCAAATAATCACTGTAAGTCTATGATATATTTAGTTTTAAGTTATATGCTTACATATTAAACTTGTTGGCATATAATCTTAAAGTACGGCACTACTTCTGAATTATTTTCACCATGAAAAATCTACACAACACCGGTATAGCGATTGCTGTATTACAATTGAATTAAAATGAGCTTTAAGTTATAGGACCGTAATTTTTAAATAAATAAAAGTAAAAATTAGTTTTCCTTTTTTTTATATTTATATTTAGAAAATATAACGTTTCTTACATTATATTTATAACGCCTTCGCCCTGTTGAGTTTCCAATCCGGCAATCCGAAAAAGCGGAGTCTTTCAATAACTGAACAGAGTTTTTTTTAATCTCCTAGCGGGACCGAGTGTATCGTGGGCAGATTGCGCGACTCCATTAGAATATTTCGTTCGGCAGTCTCGAGTGGCGCGACCTAGGTGTGAGATTCAATACGCCCCCGTTCAAACCCTAGAGCTTTCGCGTATCCGGTTTCTGTCACCGTACACTTTTTGTTCGTTCGCGTGCGGTATTTCAACGATTTCCAGTCAATGGACTCCGGTTATCGCAACGCTGGAACATTCTTTCTGAATTCAAATTCGTGATCGTATTGGTATTTTAAAATATATAATAAAGCAGTGTGTCCGGACATCCGCTTTTAATTCGATATACTCTAACAACCTGGTGCCGAACTAATGAATTCTTAATTGCAATTTTAAGTGTAGACCCATCACGTGCTAAACATCATGAGAAAACCAGCAATTTTCGGAATAATGAAAAAAAAAATAACACATTTCGAAGATATGTCCTGTCCATTAATCTGCGTATCTGGTAAGCGAGGTAACCCTGTTGGGGTTAACACTTTTTGAAAGGCGTGCATATCAAGCGTCGATAAGGATCAAGGTCCTATCGTGATTTCAAATATGTGTCAGCGGTCACTTGTTAGGAACAGAAAAATTTCTGTTGCTTGTTATTATTGATGTTTACGAAAGAATGAGTGAATATGCTAAACTGCAAACTTTATTAAAAATACGGTATATAATAATTACTTTAAATAGATAAAATAGTATACAAATATAAGTTTAATAGTGTTAGTCAATTTTAATTTATAATTGTACCAATTTCATAAGCCTTGTAAATGTTCAAAATTAAAGTCAGTTAGCTACTACAGTTTCTGAGTGTGAGCAGTTTAGAACGTTTATATAACTGAAGGTTCACGAAAAACAATACGTTTAAAATTCAATTATAACAGGCTTTACAAGGCCATTTAAATAATTTAAATCAGAACCGTGAATGTGATATGATACTGTGTTTTGTTAAACTGAACGCCTACTGCTACATCTAGAGTCGTTGTTGCGAGAAGTGAAATCGCGGCCGGCAATACGGGAAGGAGACTGGAAACTGGCCTACTTTGTTTATTCAAATAACTTTTCACATTGTATCCTGAGCGGAACACAATTGTCGTTGTGAATGAACAAAAAAATGCCACTCATGAATAAAGGAATGAATGACTTCTTTTAAAATGAAACGTCCTGTAAGATAATACACGACATTTGCTTTTTTTTCAAAGTTTCAATTGTCTTTTGGTTTATAATATTATTCATAATTATTATGAGTAGTTTACGAACTGATGAATTCTTTGTACAGTTGATATGTCATAACTAAGATATTTCACCCTAACCAAAGCAGCATCGTAGAACCTTTTAAGAAACTTTTCCAACGATCTTGTTACCGAGTTTATAAAGAAAAATACCGATACATTTTCCCTCGCTGTTGAATCGTAAAGTTTTTCACAAGATTCGGTAGCATAGTCTTTGTGTGTTGATGCCTGCGGTATAGTTTAAAGTTTCTAAAAGTAGGAATACTCTTTTGTGAACTTGTACTTTGCCGCTGTTTAAGATTTTTGAATATCTTCCAAAGTCTTTTAACAAAAAGTTATTGAGCTCTAAGTAGAAAAATAAATTCATTAAAGATGCGCTGACAAAATATTGGGATGATATAATAGTTATTGGGATTTGATATAGAGTCTTCTTGGATATAATTAGCGCTAACACTCTACCGTATTTTTATCCACTTACTAAACTAATAAAATGGCCTACTTTTGTTCTTACCTACATAGATCTGTCATATGTTGGGAAGGCTAAGTAAGGTCAGAGATATCGAATGGTGCATTAGATATACGAGACCTACCGTTTCTTATTACAAACCACTTTGAAGTGACATACATTTATTTTTTACATTAAATAGAAAGGACAGCAACCTTTCTATTAATATCAATTATAAAAAATTAAAAATTAACTAGTGTATATTGGATTTTCTTATATTCTCACTGAATGATCACATAAATACTTCATTATAAAAGCAAAACGATTTTGTTATAAATTATTAAATATATTTTCTCTGTTCTTTGCAGATATACGATTCACCGGAAAGCACCAGGCCGAAGAAATGGTCATCGAAACTTAAACTAAACACTTCAGGCAGCACGAAATCATCAGAGAAGTCTCCTGAAAGTCCATATATGTATGGTACAGTTAGTGGTCCTCCGGGATCCGCCCTATCAAAATCAATGAAATATGCCGAGACGTGGTTATACGGTTCAGTGCGAACCACCACACCTTCTGTAAGGCCCAGCGTATTTACACCCTACCCTGAAGTATCGGGACCCGTACTTATTAGTACACCACAGAAACCAACCCCTCACAATTACGCTGTTATACTATGTTCCTGTCCTGAGTACTTGAATGGTACCAAGAAAACTAACTCAACCAAAGTCAGTATATGTAAAAAATGTAAAGGGTCTCGCTTGCCATTAACAATAGCTGAGAGTCCACGAATGTTGGTGGGAGGGACTGTAAGGGGTCCGCAAGTAAATCGTGAATCTGGATTACTAAGAGCAGGGACAGTTCGTGTACAGAATACAAAATCAAGACCTAGTATACTTAAATCAAACGGAGATCCAGCTGATCCATATGATTTAATGAGGAGAAGTCGATTAGCACCTCCTCACGAAGCACGTATTGGTAGCCAGTTTTCTACAACTCGATCTCGAGCTAAAAGCATCAGTCCTTGTAGAGTTAAAAATAAAAATGTAATACAAGATACTTTTGGGAAAAGTAGAAGTAAGTCTGTTAGTCGTGTTAACGAGGTATGGGTTGAAGACGAGCCTAACTCAAATGATCATAAAAAATCAATCCTATCGTGTGATATCAATCCATACGATTTGGTTAAGTCAAGTGGAAGTTCCAAATCATTGGCAGAAATCGAATTCGATGACGAATTTGGCGATGTTTTTCCTGAGTCTATGAAAAATAAATGTTTCGAAGAAGGAAGGCATTCGAAGCCCGATATGAATGTAAAAGCTATATGTGGACAAAGAATACGCGTTTCTAATGACTCTAAACTTTGCAATGATGAAACATCAGAATATGGTTCACATAATGATCTCAAAAAATCCCATTCAAAATCTAAAGATGCATCTTCACCATTATCTTTACCAAATATTAAAAACGAAAGCAAGAAAATAGTATCCTTAAGTAAGAATAGTAGTAAAAAAATATTAAATATGTCCACCTCTAATCGTACAAAGCCTAAAAGTGTTTCACCTAAACGTCCGCCTAGAAGAAATAGAAGTGTTAAATTAGACGATGACAGTGAAAGTGACACTCAAAGGCTGCCTGAAAGAAATCATAATAAAAAATCCCATAATGAAATATCCAGGATCTCCAAATATAAGAATCAAAATAATGATCCAATCAAATCAATACTTAAAAAACCAAAAAATTACAACAGCCCCGAGTCAATTGCTAAAAACGAAACATCTGATGATTCGTTTGATAGCAAGCGAAGAAATTCTTCTCAGTTCTATCTACCTAAGCCTAACGATAGAGGTTTAATTTCGCCGCAAAATATAATACATAGGAAGCGTGTACAATTTTTGGTTGAAAATGAAGAAACGAAAGTAATTTTTACTGCCGAATTAAACTTACATGATGATATCGCAGTTGACAAATCTGAAAATATTATTACTGAATACGATGAAGCAGAAGTAGTTGCAAAAGGCGATGTAGTTAGTCATAGTTTGAACATGAATGAAGAAAAAACTTATGATGTAATACCAATCATCGCACAGTATGTTGATGAATCAAAAAACGATGCAGAAGATATAAATGGTGTTGAATTTATCCTCCAGGAAGATAGTGAAGCTCTTTTTACATGTAGCACTACTGATGTTGTCGGAGAAATTAATACAAAAATAGAAGGTTGGTATTTTTTATTTATTTTTGATAGTGAGTAGAATTCGAAACAGTAATAACAAATTTGTATTTTTCAGACAACAACATACCGAAAATACCAGTTCTGCGGCGTTCTGAATCTGAAAGACTAAATTCTGTTCTATCTATTTCTCCCCCAAAATTTTTAGACACTATGGCATTGCGCTCAAAACCAAAGCACGGACATACGAGTCAGGTATTTTTAGAGTCTGTTAGTGATAAATATCTTAGTGGTGACCATAACTTATTTTTCACACCCGATGCAAGTAAAGCGCAAAAGTCTCAGTTACGACTGCGTGAACATGAGGAAAATGAAAATTTAAGTGACAGCAGTGAAATAACAAGCAATGTATTGAAAAATTTAAGAAGTGAAATATCAATGTCACCCGAACCACCACCCAGACTAAAGTCAAAATCAAAGAAACACAATTACGTAAAAACTAGGTTCATCAGAAATAATTCGTCGAGCTCTACAAGTGATGAATGGTCCGATGCAAATGATGGCGAACAAAAAACTGTTTTACGAGTTAAGCAATTTGACTCCGATGAAGGTGAGGAAACAAATCTAAATAAAAATTTACTGCGTGTTACAGATAATGAACCCAAAAAGACTTCTATTCAAATAAATGGAAGTGATTGTTATTCCACGATGAATGTCGGCACTGATACTCCAATTTATTTGTCATCTGTAGTTGTAAATGATGACTATGGAAATACCTGCAACACTTATCAAACAGGAACGACAGTTACAATAAGTGTAGGTAGTCCACATAAAGAAATGAAAAAATCGAAAAGCCAAATATATATTGGTGAGTTATTTTCTGAAGTAAAAGAAGGTAAAGATGAGTCAAACACATATGAAGATATCTGCAATGACTCCAATAAAAGCTATGAGAGTACAGTTTCTTTTAATCATAGTAACAATGATATTTCATCGATTTTGTGTGATCCTGTAGAAGCAGTTAGAAGAAATTTGATTCCCCACGTATGTGGGAAACAAAACGATGTTTTGGAAAGTTCAAACGGGATTGTAAGTCAGGAAAAAATTGAAGTTGAAGGAGATAATGGAAACTTTGTAACAAAACTATTTAACGATCCTTTCTTTGGACACTTAGCCGAAGGTTTAGATACCGATTTAGTAAAAAAACTTATTGAAAACTCTTTAATAAAGCTCCAGGAAACAAAACACCAGGAAGGGGCAGATAGCAGTAAAGCGACTATTGAGAAACTTATAGAAAGTTCTCTTAAAAATATGAAAAGTGATTTATCTAAAGATCACAAAGACGAACCACAGCAATCAAAAAAGGAAAACGAGAGTGACAAAAAAGAAGTTAATACATCTGCGCGCTTAGAAAATGACGAAAACGGCTGCTCTGCTCCCTATGAAAGTATGGAGTACGAGAGTGGTGCAATGGGAGTTTTTTCAGACCTTGAACCAATGTCAGACTGTTACAATGCTTCGGCTAGTGAATTGTCTACTGAAGATGATACTAATTCTACCAGATCTAAATTCTATCAAATGTTAGTAGACGCAGCCTTATGCGATATTGAAATTTCAAACAGTGCAGACGATGATCATCTTTATGAGTCGATCCGACTTAACACTGATCCCATATATGAAGAAATTGGTGACATGCCTCCACCTCTGCCAATTAATCCACCCCCCAATTCATTAATGTTACATGAGGATGAAAAGCGAAGTGGATCTCGTTCAATTTTTGAAGGAGCTTCCAAGTACGATATTCTTTCGTATTTAGTTGATGCAAAAGAAAGAGGCATTGATGATGAAGAAACCTATATAACTAATTATGGAAATGAAAATGATTCTACCTGCTTAGAAGCAGAATCTAAAGAAAAACAGAAAAATGATGTATCTAAAAATCATCTTAGCAGTAACACAAGTCAATTATCAAATGCATCAGATTCTAGTGAAGATAATTCTTTAATAATAAACCATGATACGTTAGAAAAATCTGTTATTTGTAAAAAAACATCGGCGGAGATTGAAAGAAACGATTCGGGTGTTGGTTCGGAAACAAGTAAGTCTTCAAGAAGTAGATTACAAGGAAAAATATCGCCGTGCAATTTACTTACTGAAAAAAATACACCAATCCACCTCTGTGAAGACTGTGACACTGCTGTAGAAACCCAAATTACGGAGCAAGGTAATAAACACTATTGAAACACTATAACTAAGAAATATTGACACTGCTCATTTAATTTAAAACTTTAATCATATTTTATATTTTTAAGGTTCAGTTTATGCTCCATTGGTTTGTAGAAAGTGTGCCAAAAAAAGAGCAGAGAGAAAAGAAATTATAACAGAAATAGTTGAGACAGAAGAAAAATATGGTAGGGATCTGCAAATAATTCTAGAAGAGTTTTACAAACCAATGTTGGTAGCGGGCCTTTTGACACAAGAACAATTGAGTGCAATATTTTTGAATGTAGAGGAGTTAATAGAAAATAATCAGGTTTTATCAGAAAAATTGAGAGATGCACTGGAAATTGCTGTTGAACAGGGTGACGAGGTAATAAAATTCCACAAAATATTTTAATTGTTTCATTGGGGTTTAAAAATATTATCATAATGTTTCCGTATTTCATTTGTAGTGTATTCCGTATTTAATTATTATTAATTTATTTTCAGGATTTACTGACAGTTAACGTCGGCAAGATTCTTTTGGAATGCTCAGGTATGCTAACAGCATTTCAATCGTACTGTGTCAAGCAAGCTGGAGCAGCACTGCTTTTAGCTGGTCTCGAAAAAGAAAAAGAGCTGCTAAGAATTTTTCTACGCGTATCACAGATGGAGAATGTAGTTTTGAGGCGAATGAATTTAAATTCTTTTCTAATGGTAAGAGTACAAAAAGAAAATTACATTTTCGTACAATTCAATCTCTTATTTAGTCATTTAAGCTGTTGTCATATACATTGTGTAATATGATTTATCGATCCAAAAACGTTTCACTTTACGATTTATTTACTTTATTTCATTAAACCTTTAGGTGCCAGTTCAGCGCGTAACCAAATATCCTCTACTTCTCTCAAGACTATACCGTGCAACGGCTTCTTGTGCATCAGAAAGGGAGGACGTACGAGGTGCTCAGCGTTGTGTAGAGTCCAGACTTGAAGAAATAAATGCGGCCGCTGCAGCGGCAGCGGCGGCCGCTAGGGATGTCCCGTTATGGCGTCGGTTGGCAGCCGCCAGGCGTACAGCGCATGACTTACATGTGGCTGATATAAGACTTAGAAAGATGGCCGTAGACGTATTGGACTGGAATCATGATGAAGCAAGGTTTGATAAACAACGTGCTTATTTTAATGATAAAAAAAAACAATTTTTAATTTGTTGTAAATTTATTTGTGATTAAATGATGTTTCAGGGATAATTTTCTCGATTTATTGACGTAAATTTAATTATCGTCCTAAAGTAATTTTTTCATACAATTTAGTGGAGTTAATCGAAAGAAAGTTACTGTGTACACTTTTATTTTTTAAGTTATTACTGTATTATTAGTGGCTGCGACACATATTGCATTTTAGCAAATTAAATTAACATTTTAATGTACAATAACCTATGCTTCTCTTTAGATTCGCAATGGAAGGCAAGTTATTGTTCACTCAACCAAATGATAATAACTGGCGTAAAGGTCGCACAATCAAATTGATGCCCATAAATGCGCTTCTGGTTACTAATGGAAAGGTGAGTTAGAGGAAAATTATCGTAAATTAATTATTTAGCGGTGGAATTAACTTTATTACCTACTCGTACTAACGTAATGGAGGATTATTGTTGAAACTGAGATGATACTAATTTAGTTTAATTTGTAATAAATTGTGTTCTATGTTTTGAAGTTCTAAAAGAGTTCTAAGTTCTAAAAGATCCTATTAATATAATATAATATTTTCACACATCTTTCTTATTTTGTTTTTTAACACCGAAATTTTCTAATTATGTCATAGTATCCTTTTATATCATCTTTGCTTCTTGTTTATATTGAACTGCAAGCTGTCCCCCGTCCTCTGCTGGATCATACCATCATCTATAAGTAAAAAATATAAGGTTTTTTTAATGTGAAAAGTTGCCAAACGAGCAGACGGTTCACCTGATGTTAAGTGAATACCACCGCCTATGGAAATCTGCTACACCCAGGGTTCCAGATGCGTTGAAAACCTTTTGAAAATTGGGCTCGGGCCACCTCACTCACCAGACGAAACGCGAAAGTATTATACTTCCATTTTACGCCGGTCTTCTGAGAGGTCGTGGTACTTACCCGGACGAGCCTGCCCATTCATGAATCTGCCGAGGCTGCTGCCTGGTTCTACCACCGTGAAAGGAGGTTCCTGTTTAGTAATCACCAACATATCATATACTAAAACCTACTTCAAAACACGTTGCATCTTATTATATTGAGGTTCAGTAGAGTAAAACCATTAAAAAAACCGGCTCTCCATTTATTATTATAGATTATTTATGAAACGTACATCATACGCATATCATATTATGTTCAAGCCAACGACCACGCACAAAACGAACGAGATTCGAGAGACGAGGGAAGCTAGAGATCGTGAAGCCAGGGAAAAGGAAGGAGAAGCTCTCTTCGCGCGTAGTGGCGTGAGGGAGGCAGCTCTCCTGCTAGTTCGAGAGAAGGCCGGGCGGTATACTCTGCAGCGGGAACCGTTATTCCTAGATCGCTGCGTTGTAGCGGCTGACCATGAGCCCGAGCATTTCTTCGAAGTACACGAGATAACTACAAAAGACTCTTACATTTTTAAGGTGGGTATCAAAATTTAACTGCACGCAATGAAGCGTAAACATCACCGATTAATGAAAATGAAATAAACTAAAAGAAAACACAAAATGTTTTTCATCTTTTACTTCATTAAAATGTTTTTAAAAATCGAGCTGATGCATAGACACGTGTATTGCAGTAATTAGATTTTAAGGTTGTGGACATAAGAAAAGAACCGGCTCTCTGTTAGGAATAGGGCAATATTTGGCAATATTTAAGATCTTGAAAACTATGATCAGATCAGATAAATGCCCGAAATGACATGTTCCAGCAGAACGAGGGTCACAGGCGGGTATAGAGTATACAGCTTTGTTGACATGGTAAAAGTTCTTTATGGTAATTTTGAATAAAATATTTCTCAGGCCGAGGAAAATACCCGTACAAGGACTTGGTATCGGCAGCTCCAGTTCCACGCCCAAGGCGCGGGCGCTTGGCGTAAAAGGCGAAATGCACTCGCTAACATCATGATTAATCCTATGTTGACAAGAAATTAATGAGGATAATGCATCCGAAATGTATTGGGTTATTGTTATTAAAAGCACTGGAACGGATATCAACGAATTTTGATTGTTTACCGAAAAGCTACTTAGTCACCTACGTGTTCTCATTATTATTTGTATGCCTTTATTATGTAAAGAGTTTCCTTTTCACCGCTTGCTGTATTTATGGTAACACAGTTTTACTTTCTTGGGATTTGTTAGATGTTTCTAATAAAATACACCAGGCGTTGGTTTATGTAACCTGTTTTTTATGGTCAGGAAAATTTTATCTTAAGTTTTAACAGGGTTAAGTTTTATCATTACATAACTGAATATTCACACTATTGTGACTAAAACACGATGAAATTTGTTTTTGTTTAATTACTGTGAAACAAACGTCTCTTTTGAATATTTCTCAGAAATTTGTTTATGAACAAAACTCAAACTTTCGCTTTCAATTCTATTGTATATAATTATAAGAATGATTTGCCACTAGGTTAAGTTTTAGCTTTACACCAAAATATTTTTTTTTCTTTTAAATTCGAGAAACTAATGGTTTAATTTTTTTGGAATAACATTTTATTGTAAGGCGAGGAAATTTTATTGTGTAAATAGGTAACTTAACAGCTGTGATATCATGTCCCATAAAAAACAAACCCACTTTTCTGTTCAAAATCTGTAATTGTCAAAGTTATTTTCCTGACTAGTCTTAAGAGAAACTGTGTAATTAATTATTTAAAGATTAACAAAATACTTGCATTAACAAGGTGTATTTATTGTATGTATTGGTAATGTAATTAATAACATTCGCTATATTGTAGAATTAATTAGAAAAGAAAGCATTTTGCCTTAAGAGATGTTTAAAAATTGTTAACTTTTAGTGTCGAGAAATGGAAATAAATGAACATTAAAATTAGGTTATTTTATTTATATAAATAGGTAATTTAAAAAAATATTATAAAACTGTTCTTGAGCAGTCATGAACACTGTTTGAACTCCTGTCTTCATGAAGATTAAGAACATTTTAGTCACTAAACTAAGAAGCTATGTAGTTAATGTTGTTCCGTTAACAAGGATAATAATCATTCATCATAAAGAGTATTTGCAAAAGCTGCCAACAATTGGGCTTTTATTGTTGTTAGCAAATCGATATAGTGCAGGCGTTTGATAATGCCCGTACATTGAAACATTTTCTTCGTATCGCCAAATTTCACATCACAAACGGCGAACATAAAGAATTTTAAATAAAGTACTAGTAATATAAAGTGTAAATAGTTAAAGTTTAACTAGTTTAACGGTGGTAGGGCCACGCAACAGTGTTCGCTGTTGCACGAATGGGCAGGTCCGTCCGGGTTAGTACCACGACCTCTGAGAAGACCGGCGTAAAGTAGAAGTGTTGCACTTCTGCGTTTCGCCTGGTGAGTGAGATAGCCGGGGCCCATATTATTAAGAGGTGGCAACGCATCTGCAACCCTACGAGTGTTGCAAATGTCCATGGGCAGGCGGTTATCACTTAACATCAGGTGAACCGCCAGCTCGTTTGCCACTTCCTCACATAAAAAAAAAAGTTAAACAATTTGCATAGTAATGATTCATTAAATTGTGAATAATTGTAAATAAATGAACAAAATCTTTTGGCGCTGCGGAATTCGAATCAGCATATTCGGTTTAGCGCCGGTGTAATAAATGCTCCTCCAATTTGACATAACAATTTAAAAAAAATATATCGATAAATAAATAGAAGTCAATCAAAATATTAAAATCTGGAGCTTAATTAAGTATCGTATACTTTTACAAGTCGCTCTAGTCAAGTACAAAAATATATGACCGAAAATGAGAAAGACCAAACATGCGGTCTGCTTTGCCATTTCATAAATAGGCAAATTCATAATAATCAAATCAACTAGGGTCAATTCAGTTTTGTGTAAACTTTTGCTTTTTCGCGTTTTCTTATAAAGCCGCAAACGGTGCCTGGGGAAATAAATATAGCCGAGAATGAACGCTAGCACATTGCAAAGCAAACAGTTTGTGCTGGTAACGCCCGGCTGAACGGCGCACCTGTTTTACATTCAAGAATGCAAAAATATTTATGAATCAAGTGGACCGATTTGAATTATGAAACTATTTAAGTTGTAAGACCATGAAATAGTTGCAGACTTTACTATAAATACAAAAAAAATATGGCATTATTGAAATAATTAATTTTTAATCAAAACAAAGGTAACAATATTTTTTTATATTTTGGGTCTATATACTAAATTAAATGACCGATGTCCTTATACTAGATAAAAAAGGGTATCTCTAACAAGAAATATTATTTATATTTGTGCTATAATCAAAATTTCTATATAAATGTGCAACGTCTATATATATATATATATATATATATATATATATATATAGGTAGCCTCCATTTTTCACTTTCGCCATTTTTCACTTTAGGCAGCGACTAAAAAAATACACGTTCTCACGTGAAAAAATTGTTATTCAAACCATTTTGCTCCAAATATAACGAGGTTTCGCTATGTGATGTTATATAACCGAAACTAACGATGTTTTTCACCGATACGCGTCGCTATCACGCACCGCGTCAACCGTCAAACGAAACGATCTGTAATACAATTATGTCGGGAAACATGTAGTCCATATGCAAAATTGGAGAAACGCCAAACTTTGAGCCGTATTGTAACTGGGTAAAGTCGAAAAAGAGAATACAATTTTATTTGGGTTTACTGCACATTTATACGAGTTGTTACACAAAAGTTACATGTAAAGTGTGTTAAAAATGTTTAGTCCAGCATATTGTAATTTTAGATCAGTAAGGCCCTAACGCAGTAGTTTAGTAGCCTGAAATAGTTTAGTAGAGTAAACTGAAATAATGAAACTCGGTTAATATAGATACGGTGGTAGAACGTCATAAACTTTGAGGATTATCATCTATCATGTTTATGCTTCATTACCTCACCTTCAGCTAAGCTAAGGGTTGCAATGGGTGGCCTTCCTATCTAGTGACATTCTCTGTCAATTAACCCTAGTCATGGAGAAAAGTAGATGGCAGGTGCTATAAAAAGAAAATGCCAGCCAGTAATGCAACTATAGGATGAATGCCGAATTCTCATTTATGGTCACATAGTGACACAAACCAGTATTGGAAGCCACGACTTGACAAAACGATACTTCCAGCTATTAGGCCAGTATTTCATTGTGAAAGTTTTGGTCAGACATTTTCGGTCCACAATCCACATATTACATAGCAATTATCAACTTGTAATGTGGCTAACCCCTACTAATTTGTTGTCACCTCATTCGAATGCAAATTGAATTGATGACGTCGACTATTTAATATAATTAAAGTATTTATTCCAGTTAAGGTAACATAAATAATCAGACCCTGGGTGTGTATAATGATGTAGTGTGTTCATTTCATTTAAGACGTTACGATAGAATAGCTTTGCAGCATTTATGATCGCGCATAGCATCAACTGGTATTAGATTTTATATTTAATATGCAGTGATAGATTAATCATTGCTTCAAAAGGAACGGCCATATGCACATGTTTTGTCGCGATGTAAATTTCTTCAAATCGAGCACATAGTTCAAAATCACTTAAAATCCATACGTTGGTAATCCCGTACGTTGATGATACACCATAACTCTTGATGAATCCGTGGCGCAGTTGTCAAGGTATTTGCTTCGGCGTCGGGGGTCGTGGGTACGATTCCCACACGGGACAACTATTTGTGTGACCCATTAATAATTGTTACGCATCTGGGTGTTTGTAAAACGTCCTTACCACACAGGATGATATCCTAAAGTAACGGCAATGTTTTGAACAAAAAATAAAAAAAAACTCTCTATCGGTGACACATGAAAATACAAAACCAATTATTACATAATACGAGTATACAAGCGTTTTAAAATTTTGGAAATGTCCGATATATCTAATTGTGATAATATATATCTTTCTATCTTTATAATCTATAACTCTATCTTTATAACTAACTACAGTACGGATATGCAATCAGCTCGGAACAGCATACATCTTCATCAATCAACGATCAATCAGCCAATAAAGTGAGTGATTAAATAAGGTTTGCATGAACATTACTCTTGGGTAGAGGGAAGTTTCAAGGATTGTAGTGACTTTACAAGATATCAGACGCTTTAAAATATGCGTAAGCACACTCACTAATGTTAATGTCAATATCAGTGGCTTTAAGGACAACTCGGTGAGCACATGCAAATTATCAGAATACAAATGGTAAATACATAGAATGTTTTAGTAACGATACATAAATAAAAACTTATAACAACAAAGGAGAACCTAGGTATGAGAACACACAGTGGGAAAGGATAAATATTAGGGATACCACCTCAGTTACCATGATGGTCTCCAATCTCATCGTAATGTCACCAGTATCCTTCAGAAGCCTGGAGATAGTTCTATTGCCTGGTCCAAAATTAGAAGGAGGAGAACAGAGAAAAGTCAAAGCTTTACGACAAAAAACACATTGAAATTAGGGAAGATGGGTAAGAATAGATGATCCAAAAACGGAATTTGATTCGTTTAAGTTTTTGTATGTTAGTAAAAGTAAAATCTTTAAATGTCCCACTGCTGAGAAAGTGCCTCGTCTGTATAGAGGGTATCGGGGCATAGTCCACCCCACTGCGGATTGGCGGATTTCATATATTTTCGAAATATTTTTTTGTTATTATTGAGCTGTGTAAGCTGTGTTCGGGCGCTCGCCTTTAATTCAGTACATTCGAGCAAGCTGAGTTCGATCCCCGGTGTCAGCACCAATGAAATGGTCAATTTTAAGTTCTGAATTATCACGTGCTCAGCGGTGAAGGAAAACATCGTGAGGAATCCTGTATATTTTCGAAATAATAATAAAAAAATATATTTCGAAGATATGTGAAGTACGCTAATTCACAGTGGCGGCGCGTGTTGGTCTTATCCCTGATACCCTATGTACAGAGGAGCCCTTTGCCCAGCAGTGGGACATGTATA